ACCAGAAGTCATGAGTGCTCCATCCTGGGAGGTTTTTTAAGAAGAGACTGGACAGCCCTTCGTCTGAAATGGTTTGGGGGTCTCCTGCTCAAGTGTGTGTGTGTGTGTGTGTGTGTGTGTGTGTGAGAGGTGGACTAGAAGACCTCCAAGGTACCTTCCAACTTTCTCCTTCTGTTATTCTGCTGAAGTTCAGGGTTCAATCCCGGATTGAATAGGCGGGAAACCAAGACACACTCTCTCTCTTTCATTCTCTCTCTCTCTCTCTAGTTCTCTTTCCCATTCTCCTTTTTTCTCTTTCATTCTCTTTCTCCTTCTCTCTTTTATTCTTTCTCCTTCTCTTATTTCTATTTCCCTTTCTCATTCTCTTTTCTCTCCTTCTCTCCCTGCTTCTTTTAGTCTTATACTCTCTCCTTCTCACTTTCCCTTTCTCATTCCCTCTTCTGCATTTCTGTCGCTTTCTCCTTCTCTTCTTTCTGTCCCATTCTTTCTCTCTCTCTCTCCCTGATTCTTTTATTTCTCTCTCTCAATCTACCTTTCTTTCTATCTTTCTCATTCTCTTTCATCCTTTCTCATTCTCTTCTCTCATTCTTTCTCATTTGCTCTCTCATCTTTTTCTCTTTCATCCTCTGCTTTCTTTCACTCTCTCATTCTTTGTCATTCTTTCTCAATTCTCTTCTTTCATTCCCTCTCATTCGCTCTTTTCTGTCTTTCATCCTTTCTCAGTCTCCTTTCATTCATTCCCTCATTGTCATTCTCTTTCTTAATTCTCTCCCCTTCCTTTCTCTCTCCTCCGATTCTCTCAATCTCATCCTTTCTCATTCTCCTTTCTTTTTCTCTCATTCTCATTTCATTCTCTCATCTCTTTCATTCCCACTTTCTCATTTTCTCTCCTTCCTTCCTCCTTCTCTCTCTCTTCCATCCATTCTCTTCTTCCCTTTTTGTCTCTTCTCTCTTTCATTCCCATTTTCTCCTTCTCTCTCTCCCCTCCCTCCCTCCTTCTCTCTCTGTCTTTCTCTTCCATCCCCCTTCTCTTCTTCCCTTCCCTTCGCCTTTCAGTCTTTTCTTTCTCTTTCCTTCCTTCCTTTTGCCTTCTCATTCTCTCTCATTTTCTCTTCCATCCACTTTCTCCTCTTCTCTTTCACTCCCACTTTCTCATTCTCTCTTTCCATCCTCCTTCTCCCTCTTTCTCTCCCATCTACATTCTCTTCTTCCCTTCTTTCATTCCCATTTTCTCCTTCACTCTTTCTCTCTGTCTCGTTCTCTTCCATCCCCTTTCTCTTCTTCTCTTCCCTTTATCTTTCATTCCCTTTCTCCTTCTCTCTCTCTCTTCCACTCCCACTTTCTCATTCTCTCTTTCCTTCCTCCTTCTCCCTCTCTCATTCTATTCCATCCACATTCTCTTCTTCCCTTCCCTTCTTTCTCTTTCATTCCCACTTTCTCATTCACTCCCTTCCCCCCTCCTACTCCTTCTCTCTCTCGTTTTCTCTTCCATCCACTTTCTCTTCTCTTCTTCCCTTCCCTTTCATTCCCACTTTCTCCTTCCCTCTCTTCTTTCCTTCCACTCTCTCATTTTCTCTCTCTCCTCCCCCCCATCCCAGACCCCACCATAGCTTAATGCTCCCACCCCGAAGAAAGACTCCAGAGGAGGGGGGTCAGAGGCGTCACTGCAAGGCCACATCACCCCTCCCTCAAAATGGAGGCCCTTCCTCCCTTGGGGGACGGGGGGGGGGAGGAAGCAGGACCCCCGCCTCAAATCCAGCTTCCCCCCCCCCATCCAAACCCCCCTCGTCCTGTCCCCCCCGTTCCCCTTTTTGTTGGAGGGGGGAGGCGAAGCTTCCTTCCTTGGCTGGATTTGAGGCGGGGATCCTGCTCCCTAAAGCCCCCTCCCTCCCTCCCTCCCCACTAGGCCCGACGCCCCTCACCAGTCCAACCGTCGTAGGGAACCCCACCCGGGCCTGGCTTTTCCTCCCTCCCGCCACGTGCCCTCCCACCCCACGGACCCCCCCACCCCGAGACGCCAGTTCACCCCCCCCTCGCTCACCAGGCCGCGCCGTGACCCCTTGACCCGGCGGGCGGGGTCGCCATAGCAACAAGGGCGACGGTCCGGGCCCCGTGGCGGACGCGTCGCGCGTCAGCGACGCATCATCGGGCCGAGACGCTGACCTCACGACGTGACGTCAGGCGAGCGCGCCCTTTCGCCCCGCCTGCGCCTGCGCCCTCACTCGCACTCTTATTCGGCCCGAAGGGGCGAGGCTTTTTTTAAATTTATATAAGATATATATATTTATATATACATATGTACACACACACATATATATAAATATAAAAATAAACAAAATGACCCGGATGAAGGAAGCGGAAGTGACGCCTGGAGATAGCGCCTGCCTCGCCTTTCGCTTGCGCGCGCATCGGATTCCCTTTAGAGCACGGGGCGAGGGAGGCGAACGCCATCACGTAATGTGACGTCCGGCGAGGTCTCGCGACATTTATTTTTTGGTCTTCGCGGAGCCTTCGCGTCACGCATCCTGCCAGTTTGACGGGCCTGCTCTATAGAGGCATTTCCCCCCACCCGCCACCCGCGCCGCCTGACGGGAAAGAGAGTTCTTCGAATCGCAAGAGCGGCGAACCTCTGCTCTTTGGAGACTTCCCCCCCCCCCGGTAGCTCGGAGGCAAATCTCGCGAGAATTGCCCGGCGAGTCCCGATGGCTGTTTAGTTTCCTTGACCGCACCCCCAGAAAAGCTTTTCGCCGCGCGGTTCTCTGGGAATTGGAGTTCGGCGCTTAGAAGGCCGCAGGCTTCCCAAGCGAGGCTTTGCCTTGGATTGCAGGCCCCATGAGGCCCCGTCACCTCGATCTGTGGCCATCGAAGCGTGGAATCATGGGCTCTGTAATCCAAAGGCTGCTCCATGTCGCTCAGCTTTTCTCTGTTGTGTTTAATGGTATATTTCACGATTATAAAGCCTTTAAGATGGGGGTGTATGCCACAAATCTCCAGAATCCCCCAGCGGTCTGAGGCATTCTGGGAGTCAAAGTTCAGCCATCCTGACTGAGGGATTCTGAGAATTGAAGTCCACTAGCAGGGGATTCTGGGAGTTGAAATCCACTCGTGCTGGCTGAGGGATTCTGGGAGTTGAAGTCCACCAGCTGGGGATTCTGGGAGTTGAAATCCACTCGTGCTGGCTGAGGGATTCTGGGAGTTGAAGTCCACCAGCTGGGGACTCTGGGAGTCGAAATCCACCCACATGGCACTTGGGAAGTCACAAACTCCAATTCAGCTGGGGAATTATGGGAATTGAAGTCCAGGGTATTTCCTTTGCCCCCAGTGGATTCTGGGAATTGAAGTCCTCCCTTTCCTTAAAGCCTGGGAAATGGAGGGGGGGACCTCAATTGACAGTCTTTGGTGGCAGGATACTGGCCCGTCCCGAACCTCGAACCCAGTCCGAAACGCTCCTATTCCCCCGCCCCTCCCGTCGATTGAGAAAGAAGGCAAGCTTCGTTGCAACGTCCAATTCCCTTCCCCGCTTCCCCCCCCCCACCCAGGGGAGGGGTCGCCTGTCCCGGACATCCGTGGGGGGGGGGGGAGGAGCTCTAACGAACTCCCCTCCTCCCCTTCCAGAACGAGTCACGCGAGAAACCTCTTTCCCCGAAACGGGCTGACGAGTTTCGGAAAAGCCCAGCGGAGATTTCGCAACTAGGGTGGGGGGAATAAATAAATAAATAACATTAAATTAAAATTAAATTAATAAAATAAAGCAATTAAATTAATCAAATAAAATAAATAAAATAAAATATAATTAATAAAATAAACGAGCAAATTAATTAATTAATTAAATAGAAGCCCAGTCAACCGGAGCCGAAGGGGGCGTGGAGGAAGGGGGGGGGCTGGACGATGACCCCCCCCACCCCCCCGAAGCTCCAAAGGGAGCGGGAGGAGGAGCTCAAGGGAACCCCCCGCACAAACACAGACACAAACATATCTAGACACACACACCCCAGACGGTTCGCGATGTCCCGTTGGGCGCTTCCCTGCGCGTTGCTGCTAGTCCTCATTGAGGCCGGCCGGCCTGCCGCGCCGCCAAACGGGCTGGAGAAAGTCCTGGAGGATTTCCACGGGCGGAATCTGGTGCAGGCGGCCTTCCGTGGGGAGGCCGTCCGGGAACTGGTGGAGGTCAGGCGGGCCGGAGTTTTTGGGGGGGAGGGAGGGAGGGGGCCGGAGGGCTTCCACGGGGGAGGAGAGCTCCACCCGGACGGCGGTCCCACAGGGAGACTGAGAAGCGGGTGGGGGTTTCAGCCCCCGTCCCGCGAGTCTGGTCCGTGGAGGCTGCTTAGCACGCGTGGGGAGACCCTCCAGAGGACTTCCACGGAGGAGACGGGCAGCCCCGTCCGGGCGGACCGCCGGGGAAACTGGAGGGAGGAGATTAAGCCGCGGTGGGGAGGGGGCTCTCCGTGTCCGCCCCCTTCCCGAGCTTCACCCGCGGAAGGTCCGTTTTTCCTCCCTCGCCCACGGTCCCCCCAACCCAACCCACGTGGCGGGTGTGTGTGTGTGTGTGTGTGTGTGTGTGTGTGTGTGTGTGTGTGTGTGTGTTGGGGGGGGCTTCAGCCCTCCTTAAGCATCAGGCTTGAAAGTGGGTTGATTGACAGCCCGCGCGGCTTGATTGACAGCCCCCGGGCTGGCGGGATCGTTTGGAAAGCTGGGCTCGTGGGTTTCGTTTCCCCCGGATCGCCGGGCAACGCCCGGGGGAAAGTCCCCGCTGGAGGGAGGGGAGCGGGGACCAAGTGAGTTGGGCCGGGTGTGTGTGTGTGTGTGTGTGTGTGTGTGTGTGTGTGTGTGTGTGTGTGTGTGTCTGTCTGTCTGTCTGTCTGTCTGTCTGTCTGTCAGATAGACTGCTGCGATTTAGGGAAGCTCCATTTATTGGGAGGACCGTGGAGGTTATCTAGTCCAACCCGTTGCCCAGGCAGGAGATTCTTGACAGAACGCTAGTATAACGGAAAGGAAGTCACGTAGTCATTGGCTTTGAAGTGAATATTTATTGGCTTTTTAATGTAAATTTTCATTGGCCTCTAACTGAATTTTCATTCGAACGTTTCGTCTTCCTCCCAGGAGTTGTTGATGGGCACCTACGTCGAGTTGGAAGTCGACCTCGTCCAAACGGTTTGCAGGAAACATCAATGGAGGAGTCAGAATTGCCAGATCAAAGCCGGTGGCGTAAGTACACAAACACGGACAAACACACACACACAAAAGCGCACACAAAAACACACAAAGGTTACAGACTTTGTTCCCTTTCCTGGAACGAAATCTTGCATAACACAACAAGCGACAAAGCCGTCCTTTCGCAAGCCAAACCTCAAAAAAGACACCCAGGAAACTCTCCTGGAAAAGGGACCTCAGAGGTCCTCTAGTCCAACCTGCTGCTCCAGCAGGAGTCCCTTTCAGAATCTTTGAATCACAGAGTGGGGAGGGACCTCAGAGGTCCTCTAGTCCGACCCGCTGCTTGAGCAGGGGACCCTGGACTGTTCAGGACCGAGGGTTGTCCAGTCTCTTCTTCAAAACCTCCAGCGATGGAGCAGCCCGACTTCTGGTGGCGGGCAGTTCCGCTGGTGAATTGTTCTTCTCATAGAACGGTCTGGTTTGAACCATTTTGAGGCATAATGGATGCATTTTTCTTTAGGGGGTCTGTTGTGAGCTTAACTATGGTTTGTCTCTCTCTCTCTCTCTTCCCTTCTTTCTCTCTTTCTCTCTCTTTCTCCATTTTCTCTTTGTCTCTCTCACTTCTTTTTCTTTCTCTATTCTTTCCTTTCCTTCTCTTTCTCTTTTTTTCACTCTTTCTGTTTCTCTTGTCTCCTTGTCTCTCCTTTTTCTTTGTCTCTTTCTGTTTCTTTCTGTCTCTTTGTCTCTTCTTTCTCCCTCTTCTCTTTTTTTCTGTTTTTCTTTTTCTCATTCTGTCTCTTTCTCTTTTCCTCTTTTCTCTCCTTTTCTCTCTCCCTCTTCCTTTTCTCTTTCACCCTTTTCTTTCTCTCTCTCTCTTCTTTTTCTCTCCTTATTCTTTTTCTTTTCCTCTTTCTTTTCCTTCTGTCATTCTTTCTGTCTTTTTATGTCTCTCCTTTTTCTCCCTCTTTCTGTTTCTGTCTGTCATTTTTCTGTCTTTCTTTCTGTTTCTCTTTCTGTTTCTCTCCTTTTTCTCTCTCCTTTTTTTCTTTTCCTCTTTTTCTTTCTCTTTCTCTCTTTTTCTGTCTTTCTCTGTCTCTCCTTTCTCTGTCTTTTTTTGTCTGTCTCTCCTTTTTCTGTCTTTCCCTTTTTTCTCTTTCTGTCTCTCTCCTTTTTTCTGCCTTTTTTTCTTTGTCTCTTTCTCTTTTTCCCTCTCATTCATTGTCTTTCTCTTTTCCTCTTTTCTCTCCTCTCTTCCCTTCCTTTCTCTTTCTTTCTTTCTGTCTCTCTCTCTCTCCTTTTTCTGTCTTTTTTCTTTCTCTCTCTTTCTCTTTCTGTTTCTTTCTGTCTCTTTCTCTATCTCTTTTTTCTTTCTGCCTCTCTTTTTCTCTCTTTCTCTGTTTCTTTCTATGTCTTTCTCCCTGTGTCTCTTTTTCTTTCTTTCTCATTCACTTTCTCTTTTTCCTCTCCTTTCCTCTCTTCTTCCTCTTCCTCTTCCTATCTCTTTCTCCCCCTCTTCTTTGTCTTTCTTCTTTCTCTCTCTCCATATTATACTTTTTCTTTTACTTTCTTTCTGTCTCTGCTTGTGTCTCTCCTTTTTCTGTCTCTTTCTGTTTCTTTCTGTCTCTCTCTCCTTTTTCTTTCTGTCCCTTTCTTTTTCTTTCTCTCTTACTCTCTTTCTCTCTCTCTCTTACTCTTTCTCATTCACTCTCTTTCTCTTTTCCTCTTTTCTCTCCTTTTCTCTTTCTCCTTTCTTCTTTCTTTCTTTCTTTCTTTCTTTCTTTCTTTCTTTCTTTCTTTCTTTCTTTCTTTCTTTCTTTCTTTCTTTCTTTCTTTCTTTCTCCCCCCCCCTCTCTCCTCCAGAGGAAGCAGAAATGCCTGGCCTGCTTCAAGTTTGACATCAGCAACCCCAGGACCCTCATCAACAAATCCCTCCGATGCTTATCTGAGCACAATCCCCTCTTACCGGTGGGTCAGAGCTCCCCCACCCCAAAACCCTCTGCTACTTACCAGGGAGACCCAGAATTCCCATTTAGGTGCCATCGGAAAGGTGGGGTCAGGCCTGAGGGGGGGCCGCCCCTCCAGGGACCCCTTGGGAATACCAGCTTCCGGTCTGACCCTTCCCTGTTGACCCACCAATGTTACAAGAATCCTGGCTTGTTTTCCTCCGGGAATGGCCAGGTTTGTGGATTTCGGAAGGAATTCCCACCAAGGTTTGTTTGCGGCTGTGCCATGATTCCAAGCTAGGTACTCGCTTGACTCCTCCCTCCAACCTGGCCGGCCAGCAATGCCAACAGAGAGCTGCTTGCCCTTCAGATAGGTGGATCGATGGGGGGGTGGCTCGAGGAGGCAGACAGGCAACGGACAGAATCACGGAAGGATGGAGTAGAAAGGGGAACCTGGGAGGTCCTCTAGTCCAGCCCCCGCTCAAGCTTACAGAATTGGAGTTGGAAGGGACCTTGGAGGTTATCTAATCCAACCCTGACAGAACGATGGAATAACTGAGCGTTGGTTCTCAAGGCCTCTCTGTTCTTTCCTCATTCTATGAGGGAGGGTGTGTCTCCCACTCGAGCAGGCGGGTGGGCTAGATGACCTCCTGAGGTCCCTTCCACCTCTGTCATTCTACATTCCACCGTGAGCTCCTTTTTTTGCGCTTCCCCCAAGCTGGCAAAAGGGGGGAAGTCCCAGCCCCCCCCCTCCGTCCTGATTTCTCCCCTCCCCCCCCAAACAGGAAATGAGAAGGCGGCAAGAAGTGGAATGCCGGGCCATCAAATCAGCCAATGAGGACCAATACCTGCCCGGAAAGTTCGCCTTTTCTGTCGGACTGCCTTCCTGATCGTTCCTGCCACACCTAGCCAGGTAGGTGCACGGCCTATGCGGGGGGGGAGGGGGGGAGGGAGGGGGAAGATGCTGCTGGTTTAACAACCGGTTCGGTGAGCGGTTGTGCCTAAGTGGCTTGTGTGCAGCTCTGAAAACGGAGCATTGAGAATGGGTCGGCAACCTTAAATAGTCCAAGAGCCACAAAGGTCCTAACTGGGAGCGCCCCCGTTCAATTCTGGAGCCGACCGAAAGTCCGGGTCCCCCACTCCATAGAGTCTCCTCCTAGCATGGCGTCCTTTTTTCTTCTACCTGTTAACCGAAAGCCCGATCAATTGTGGAGCCAACCAGTGACCGGGAGCCGCAGAAGAGGGATGAAAGAGCCACATGCGGCTCCAGAGCTGTGGGTTGCCGACCCCTGATTTAGAAGCTTGGCTGCTTTCCTTCCTGGTCAGCAGCGCTAAGTGGGACAGCTGAGCTGGTGCGGGGGAGTGAAATCAGCAGCGCTGCACGATTGGGATGAGCCACAAAAGCAAGAAATAGAGAATAGGGTAGGGCGGGGGGGCCCGCGGATCGTCACAACCAGTTCGCCTGAACCGTTCTCAACTGGCAGCATTCCCACCACAGAAGGATGGCACCCAAGCGAGATTTTGTGGAGGGACGATCTGGGCAAGATCTGCAGGTCTGGTTGATTGGAAAGGGTCCCCGGTGGTCTCGGGGCCGGGCGGTTTTCCCAGCAGACATTTCGTGACCCAGCTAGGGAACGTGATCAGGGTGAGAAGGGAGGGAGGGGTGTGGGGAAGAGGAGAATGGTGTCCTGAGGGGTCTCGGAGGTTGTGGGGGAGCTTCTGGCTAGACGTTTCATAACCCAACTAGTTTACGGCAGCAGTGCACAGAGGACGTTATGTGGTTGGGTCATGAGACGTCTGCAAGGAAATGACCCAGCTCAGAGAGCACCAAGGACCCCTCCTCCTCTCTGCACCCCATTCCCTTCTAGTACCGATGGTGTTCCCTAGTTGGAATATAAATTTTGAAGGAATCGGCTGAAAACTCTCCTGTTGAGAAAATAAGTATCTATACATACATACATACACATACATACACATACATGTACACACACACACACAATCTGTGTGTGTTTGTGTGTGTGTATTGATTGAAAGGCTCAGCTGAAAATTGTCCAGAGGAGATCTATCCTCTTTATCTATCATCTCTCTGTCTATATCCATCCATCCTTTCTTTATATCTATCTCTCTGTCTCTCTCTCCCTCCCCCTCTATATCTATCTATTATGTCTAATCTATCATCTATTTCGATCCATCCATCATCTCTTTATATCTATCTATGTATCTGTCCCTCTCTCTGTCTCATGTCTATCATCTATCATCTATCCATCCATCATCTCTCTTTTTATACCTATCTCTATCTCCCTCTATATCCATCCATCCATCCATCTATATCATCTATCTATCTATCTCTATCTATCTATCTATCTATCTATCTATCTATCTATCTATCTATCT